GGTTATAAACAGTACCAAATTAGGGTTCTTCGGAACACTTTTTGGTGCTAAATAGAACCCTTTTTATAAGGTTCCATAAAGAACCATGCTTTGAAAGTGCTATATAGGACCTCAATAGTGTGATAAATAACCTTTTTAAGAAGTGTATTTTCATTAATATTAGTATATTTGTATCTTTTATATTATTAATATTATTTTTTTTATTGGCCTAGTCTTATGTCTTCTACCTCTAATATCCTCTAATACGGTTTTGCATTAAAAAAAAAAGGATTTGTTGAATGAGTAGCTGTGTAGCCTATGGCTATATAGGACCTCAATAGTGTGATAAATAACCTTTTTAAGAAGTGTATTTTCATTAATATTAGTATATTTGTATCTTTTATATTATTAATATTATTTTTTTTATTGGCCTAGTCTTATGTTTTCTACCTCTAATATCCTCTAATACGGTTTTGCATAAAAAAAAAAAAGGATTTGTTGAATGAGTAGCTGTGTAGCCCATAGGGCCTTTCGCACCGCAGTACCAGAACTAATTGTGGATAGTCCTCCTTTCCGTTCTTTCAATCGCTTTACGTATACGTCGACTTTCCATGTCCATTATTGTGAAACCCTCGAGACACAACAAAAACACAGCTCCGATCACTGCGTCCTCCAGCCTCCTGGTGTTAATGTTGTTTATCTTTGTTTTAGTTGTTGAACGCCGCGCACAAATGATGACGCTGTAGACCGGTTCCTAGTACAAACTACTGTATGACAGCTCGTGAAATAAAACCACCTGCCAGTAAATTCGAGCAATGTTCTGAGTGGCCGCATAAGCTACAAACAAGTAAAAAATAATTTATTTGTGAAAGCCAGCTTACATTATTCTAAAACTAGAACTAACCAGGATAGTTTTTGGGAAACCACTGCATATATGAATGAAAGACATTAAAATCACGTTTGTTTAACAAACATAAATTATGTAGCTTTAACATAAATCATGTTCATTTAACAAACAAATTATGTAGCTTTAACATCTATAAATCATGTTCATTTAACAAACATAAATTATGTAGCGTTAACATATAAAAATCATGTTGAGTAAATCTAACTTTTAATATGTGCAACCGATGTAAAATTTTTTTTTGTTAATCCCAACAGGGTTTTTTTTTCAGTGTAGTAAAAGAACAATTGCCAAATCCAAATTTGTATCTATTAAATCATCTGGATTCAGTTATATTCAAAGAATGGAAAGTGTTTGTGTGCTCGCATACACTGCATGTGGGACTTGCATCAAGTTCAAATAATTGGTGAGAATGTGACAGGAAATGATTGGGGAGAGAGATCAGAATGGGTTTGGGACATATCGCTAAACCAGCAAGTGCATTAACCACAAGCAGAGGGTTAAGACACTGAATTTGATAGTTTTGTTACCATCTTTGTTCTTGAGGGAGCTGAGGTTAGATGAGGTTTCGGTGGGGGCTTGAACACAGTAGACCTCCCTGGTTTGAACCCCGCCTCCGCAGAGCCCTGTCTGGTTGCTCCGGCGACGGTCCTGTTGGCTGAGGAGCACATCCACCCTGCAGTCACTCCACTCTGTGGTTCGCCAGTTATATCTGCAGAGACAGAGGAAGGAAGGAAATTTGGTGAACAGACGTGAGCTGATGAGTATTTAATGTTCTCTTAACTTATCCTCTGAAGGCTAGAGATTTGTTTTTATTACACAAAAATAAACTACTTTGGTCCTTTGGAGTTATAAATATAGATTATTTTAAATAGACTAATCAGAAGCCACGTCAGTCAGGATGTGTGCTAAGGTCATAGCCTTATTGAGCATCATTGAGTTTGATGGCTGGGCTGCTGCTTTTTGATTTATCATGTTAGCGAAAGAACACTAGGGAAACAGCATCAAAAGCTGAGCTATGGATAGAAATGTTGCAACAAAAATGACACACTCTGTACTTATCATATGCAGTTTTAATGAGACATTTTCCTGTCCAGAGACACCCTTATGAAAACCATGTAACCATGTATTCTAGTAAAAGGGTAGTAACCATGTTTTTTGGTGTATTGATTACCATTTGTAAAACCACAGTTTTACTATAAATACCACGGTTAAACTATGGTTAGCGTAATGAATCCATGGTTACTTTTTGGTTACCATGGTTTAACTATAGTTTTGCTTTTATAGTTTTTTTTGTTCGTTTTTTTTTATATCCAGTAAAACCATGGTTAATTTTTGTAAGGACATTCAATTTGAACTTAACCACCAGATTTCACTGGCTACTAGCTACTTCCACTAGCTAGACCAGCACCAAATTAGCCTGGACCCAGTGTTATTATTAACTTAAACTATTAAAAATAAAAACTGGGGAAAATTTTTGACCACATAGTGTTATTTTAGTAGTATTTATATACTACTATAGTTTTTATTAATATTTTGAATTAGCTATACATTTATATTTTCAGTTTTCATTTTAATTTAGTAATTCTTTATGTGCATTTTTTTTCAAATATTACTATTTAGTTTTAATCAGTTAATTAGTTATTAGTTATAGTATACAGTTTCAGCTTTAATTTATTTTCAGTGAGTAATTATAGTGCTTCAACCGAACTTATTTCACTTAGTTGCCAAGGCAATGCCTAATTTTCATTTAGTTCACGTTTTTTCTATACATTTTACAAATAAATTAGTTTACTTTACTAGTTTCTTTCAGTGTCTGACTTGTTAAATTATGTTATGTTATGTTGTGTTATGTTAACATATTTAGGATATTTGTGTTATGTATAAATATTTTTTATTTTACAAAGAACTATTTTGGATTTTTTATTTTTTATTTTTTTTACAAAAAAGAATAAATCCTGCATGCTATCCGCCCTTTTTTATTCTATAATAATTATTTTATTTTTATTTCCTTATTTATTCAACATGCCTGATGAAGGTCATGGACCGCAACATTGTGAGTGAATACATTTATATTTTGATACATTTGCAAGGACGAATAGTGTATGGGATTGATTATTTTTTGTTTTGAGTTTGGACCTGCTTTTGGTCGTTTTTCCTATGCACCTATCAATTACCTACAGGTGTGCGAGGGTAATTGCTGATTGTTTTTTTTATATAAAATCTGAAATAGTTATAACCATATTAATTTATGGTCATTTCAGTAAAGGTCTTAGAGTCTTTACTAATGAAATGTTGATACACATAAATGAGACAAAAAAAAAACTTCTGGTTCAGTGTTAACAGTGTTAGCACTGGCTGAAAAGGAAAGCACCTCCTCTTTACCGTTAGCCTTTGATCACCATTTCTTTCCACATGTGTCTCGCTGATCAAAAGCTGGAGGGCATGCTCGGGGGGGAAGCGCTGGTAGTGTGTGTGTATGCGTGTGTTTAAATGTCCAGTGACCTTCAGTATAACAAATCTGGCTTCCAGCTTTTAGAAGAGTTCAAATAAGAAGATTAAAAAGAAAAGAGAGCATCTTTTGAAAACATTTCTTGACCATGAGCATGCACTCTAAACTAAGAGGGAAATGGTCCCTTGCTTTGCTTCTGTAGTGTAAATGAAAGAATATGAAAAATGTATTTCAGTTTTTGAATACAGTGGGTTGTATTTTAAAACCAATAGAGAATTCCTGCTGACTTTCCATGGTAATGGCTCTCAAACTTTTTCACAGATTCAAAATGAAGACCATTTGACCTCACAAATGCAGAGCTCCATATTCATGAGCTGTGAGTCAGTGTGTGTTTGAGTGTGCTTCTGACAAAACTGCATTCAATATTTAGTTTTGAGGGCCTCTCTTTTCATTTATGCACTATACTTGAGCTACACATAATGTGTGAAATGAGAAAGCTTTCTTTTTTTGGATACTTGAATGAGTAATGCACTGCATAGGAAATGTTAATAGTTAAGTAGCATAATGCACCACCAGCAAAGCAGTTTCCCAATACGTTTACATACATATATATTAAATTTTAATGAATTAAACGAAATTGAAATAAACAGATTTTACAAACATTCACAATATTCTAATTGAGATGTGCTGTGTTTTAATGCACCATACTTTTACTTATGCTAACGTGATTGTGCTCTATCAGATGGCAACATTTAAAGAGAATAACGATTAAAAATTTGGTCAACTTTTGATTCAAATAAAGATATATTAGAGACTTTCACAAGATGCTAAACCTGATGTGACATGTTTTAATGTACCGTGTACACTCACACAAATGAGATCTGAGAGCTATATTGGATGGAAACAAAGTTACAATTTCTCTCACTATCCGGGTTTACATCCAAAGTTGCGAATTTAACTTATGCGCAAAATTGAAATATCGCATAAAACATTTGCGAATAAGCACCGTTTCCATCCAACGAGTCAAAGAGAACTAAATCGTCACTTCCTTGTAAGCTGACACTATTTATCACTAAGAAAAGTAGGAGAAGCCACTGAATATAATAATTTTCATGTATAATAAATGACTTGCACTTCAGAGCGAGCAGACGAAACGAACATATTCGTGTAACAGCTCTGGGAGGCAATTATACAGAAATACTTTGATGACAGACTTTTCTCTGGCATTTCAAAATGACCATAACAACATTTCAGATGCTGTGGAACAAGATCGGCCCGCTGGTTAGTCAGGTTTTGCCGTCCCATAGTGCAACGTCACATGATTTTGATGCACATGGAGGAATTTATTCGGCAAGTGTGTTTTCCATCTCCCATTATTTACATTAACCTTTTTCACCCTTAGTCAAAAACCACCTTAAGTGAGCGGAAAAACTTTTTTTGCGACTTAAGGGATTTTTAACTTTGATGACAGACTTTTCTCTGGCATTTCAAAATGACCATAACAACATTTCAGATGCTGTGGAACAAGATCGGCCCGCTGGTTAGTCAGGTTTTGCCGTCCCATAGTGCAACGTCACATGATTTTGATGCACATGGAGGAATTTATTCGGCAAGTGTGTTTTCCATCTCCCATTATTTACATTAACCTTTTTCACCCTTAGACAAAAACCACCTTAAGTGAGCGGGAAAACTTTTTTTGCGACTTAAGGGATTTTTATTCGAAATTTGGCATTTCCATCACTTGTTTCTGATGTGATACTTCAAAATACGCATAAAAACAGGGTGATGGAAACATAGCTACTGTCTCTTACAGCATTCATAAGAAATTATTCCTTTGGATGACTCTACTCTAGTTAGCTACTTTTTGTTACTACTTTGTAGTGTAGCAAAATACTGTTTCAACAGTAGCTTGACCTAAATGAAGCTAAAGAACATTACAGTTTCACAATAGCTTCTCCAACACTGAATTATACGGAACAACATAAGAGTGAGTAAACGGTACCGAATGAACTATCCCTTTAAGAGGTTTACGACATGCTTAACAGTAGGTGAATATTAAATTTTAATGGTTACAAGCCACTCTTGGCCACCTGAATCTCACTCTGGGGGATGTCTGGTCATAAACCCCTGCTGTAAAGGATTCTCAGTTACAGCACTGAAAGCACATGTGGGGTTTGGTGAGAGAGCGCGGCCCGGCACACACTGGGTCAGCACTACAGGAGCACCATTCACCTCCATCAAATACAGGGGCATACGCTCCTCTCTGGTGAGATCCAGTGTAGCGAGGTGATGAGTGATGGGGAATGGACCAGCCCATCTGTGGGGGAGATCAGATTAGACAGCGTGTGGCCTGTCCTCTCAGACATTCACTATTCATCAGCTCACCTCCTCCAGGGTGGCACTGTGCCAAACCCCCAACCCGCTGCCATCTCTCCATCTTTCCTAGCAGGACCTTCACCCCCACCCACCCTCCATCTTCCCCCCTTCACTCCTCCATCTGTGTTTTAACACATTCATGCTATCTAAAAGCCGTCAACAGATGACGTGCATACAGAGAGAGATATTACGGAAAATTGCAGGCCTATAATTAAAAAAATTTACAAATTTAAAAATTACTTTGTGTGTGTGTGTTTAAAGTCTCATATACTCACGAGGACATATATATACACATTTATACATATACACATATATCACCCCGAAAATTTTTATATTAACTGATAATCTTTTCATCATATTCTTTTCAGTTACTTTTTACAATCTGCATTGTAAAAAGCGCTATATAAATAACAGTAACTTGACTTGACTTGACTTAACAAACTGCATCTTTAGATGCATCAGATCAAGTATGGACGTCACATACAGTAAATGCTTCATATTAGAAATAATATAAATGTCATGATCCAAGCACCAAAGCAGAATGGATGCTGCACTTACACTATACATGGCGGGATTCCTTCTCCTTGAGGATAACACGGTTCACTCTCCTCCAGCTCAGGACACTCGGGTCCTCCACCCACCGGGAACTGCTTCACCTGACGTGTGCGTGTCCGCTGTCCCTTACGCCCATTCAGATCATAGCACTCCTTTGAGCAGGCAGACCAGTCCGACCACTCGGTCACTTCACAGTCCTTTGGGATGACACACGCTTGATATGTCACAGGAAGAGTCTGCTGGTTACACTGGCTGTAGGGACACAGAATAAAGTCTGTTATGGATCAATTAATCCAACATTTATTATAACAATGCTGCAGAAACATCTTGCTTGCACTTTTGAGACATCGGAATGAACATCAACATTGTTATTTCTAAACACCACAAGAAAGGGATGCTATTACTTGTAAATTATCTTAAGTAATAGTAATGTTAGAAAAGAAAGATAAATTATCATCTCAAGCCAGACCAAGCTGTTTTCAACCAATCCCATCCAATTACTGTATATCATTTTGTATATATGCAATAATAAAGATAACCATCTTAATGCTGCTTACACTCTGACCTTGCATCTCACCAGTTTTTTTTATTTCTATCTCACTGCAGTCACTACAGATTGTGATTCAATTTAGATATGTATCAAACTATGACTTTCATGAATTTTAATTAAGAGGCATCAAATGACAGCTTGGCTTTGGGGGTTGTTATGATTGAGACTGTGGTCCTCACTAGAGCTCCTACATGACATGTAAGCAAGATTTAATTTGTCTTAATCAGTCAGATGAGGCTTGGCTGGTTCACAGATCACGTCGTTGGTGTCAAAGGCTGTTGAATTAAATCCAGGCAGAGGCCATTCCTGTACATATATCTGTGTGTGACTTAACTACACGTTTAAGTATCTATTGCAAGGTTTATATTTAAGTGCCACTGCAGCGTGTTTATTCAACTTACTGCACGTTTGTGCCACATTAAAATGTGTCCTACTTTTTAAACACGTTTTATGTATAGATGGCATAGGTTTACATTGTCTTCGACGCGACTTTGAACGTAATATGAAAATTCATCTTTAAATATTGAAAATGCAAATAAACAAATATGTATTTTTTTACACATCACACATTTTACACATTCTGTATTATGACTGTGCCTCAATTGTGATGAAATTTCCAATACAATCAAGAACAATTAATATGTTTTTAATCCAAAGTTGCATTTGGTCATTTCCAATCAAGTTTGCTCCAAATTCTCCAAAAAGTGTGCCATTTTATTTAATTATGTGTATTCAGGATTCATAAAGGCTTGTAAAGTGTCATTTACACCACTGTCACTTCCACCTCAGACTGGCATTAAAGGGACAATTCACCCAAAAATGAAAATTACCCCCTGATTCACTCACCCTGAAGCCATCCTAGATGTGCATGACTTTCTTCTTTCAGACGAATACAATCAGAGTAATATTAAAAAAATTCCTGTCTCTTCCATGCTTTACAATGGCAGTGAATGGGGGTCGAAATTTCGAAGCCCAAAAAAGTGCGTCCATCCATTATAAAAATTATTCTATATGACGCCAGTGGTTTAATAAAGGCCTTTTGAAGTGAAGTGATGTGTTTGTGTAAGAAAAATATTAATACTTTCTTCTTTCAGACGAATACAATCAGAGTTATATTAAAAAAATTCCTGTCTCTTCCATGCTTTACAATGGCAGTGAATGGGGGTCGAAATTTCGAAGCCCAAAAAAGTGCGTCCATCCATTATAAAAATAATTCTATATGACGCCAGTGGTTTAATAAAGGCCTTTTGAAGTGAAGTGATGTGTTTGTGTAAGAAAAATATACACAAAATAATGTTCTTTTTAGCAGCATCATATGATCCCTTTAAAACTTTATAAACCAAAATCTCTAGCTTCCGCTAACTGTCGTATATGTGTTCACGAGAGAGTGGCATTTCAGTGGATGATGTAGGACATAGATGTAGCATAAGCCTTGGTGAGAATATGCTAGTCTTGCGAGAACCAATTTTTGTTTACAGCTAAGGAAAACCACTCTCCTCTTGGCGTATATGGAAATCTTCCAGCATTTTCCTTTACAAATCCTCGTTTTGTACTTCTAATTTGTACCTGGGTTTTTTTTTTTTTTGCTCTCTCCTCTGTGCAGCTGCATTCACTGTGTGGAGTATTTTATGATGGATGGATGCACTTTTTTTGGCTTCAAAATCTCGACCACCATTCACTGCCATTATAAAACTTGGAAGAGCCAGAACATTTCTAGTGTAACTCCAATTGTAAACGTCTGAAAGAATAAAGTCATAAACACATAGCATGGCTTGAGGATGAGTAAATCATGGGGTAATTTTCATTTTTGGGTGAACTATCCCTTTAAAACCAATACATAATTTGAGATGTTTGGAAATGACACTGTGCCCATAAAGAAACATTTTTCCAGAGCACAAGTTAAAAGCATAATCAAGTAACTATTAATTTGGTTTGACTGGCATTTACTGCACTGCGAGGTCTGATTTTGATGCTTTCTTGTTTCTGACCTTGCCATTCCATACATTTGATCCAGGGCAGGGTGCTGCATTAACACAGTCATCAGAATCAGCTAAGCCTCTTTAGGGATTTCAGCCATCTGTGAAGTCAATGAGTAGCTCTAATGTACTGATCTGCCTGGGACAGTGCACATCTCTCTCCATCTTCCTGTGCTAATCCCATATAACAACAAATACAGGCAGATATGACACGTCCCCATTCTGGCTCTAGAAGGGGAACCTACGGTGAACATGACAGACATTTTTTTTGCTTCTGAAAGCCTCTTCACAAAAACACAATCAAAGTGGGTGTTGATGGGTCTGTTGCTTGCTGAAATTCACTCTGAAAGTTGCTCGTAGTGATATTCCCATTTCACTTGACAATACCTCTTCAACTAAAGCAGATTAAAAGTTCCATCATGTGAGACAGAATGAGGACATGCGTTGGAGATATGCGAGCATAACAAGCTTTTCGAATCAAATGTGTTAATGAAACTTCAATGAAAGACACTCTTAATGACAGGCTGAGCAAACATGTAATGGAAAACCACTTGGCGATAAAAGGCCATATTATCGGACGGTTGCATAAAACTACTTACTGGTATAGCTGAAAATTGATAGGAAAATGATGAGGGACATTTCTGAAGGAAGATGACCATTAAATCTTTGGGTTAGAATGACGCAATTACATTCTGGGCAGGCAGTTACTAATAGGTGATGGAATGATGGGAAGGCAATGGGCTTGGGTCATAATATTGATATGAGAGCATGGCTCCATAAATGAGATTTCTCTCTCTAGTCAGTCTATTACTGACAGACTCTCAGAAACTTCCTCGAGGGAAAAGCCACTGCAAGAATTGTTTAAAATGTCAGTTATAACACGGGGACCAGATTAAATGAGCATTGCAGTTCGGATTATTAACATGCAGTGCAGTCTACAAAGAACATGCATAAATAGATAAAAACTAAGAATACATTTGAAAACATGCCTCAAGTTAATATTAATAGCCCTCGGGATCTATAAGCTATACATGTTTTTCTGTGAAGCACCTTGTTAACTTTGCTAAAGCTGTAATGTGGAGAATAAAATATAAACAAACAACTTGAACGCATGAGTTAGACATTAAGTATACATGTGTGGTGGTGTCTTGTGCTTTGAATGAAGTCTGTTTTTGTCTGGGACCAGATTAAATGAGCATTGCAGTTCGGATTATTAACATGCAGTGCAGTCTACAAAGAACATGCATAAATAGATAAAAACTAAGAATACATTTGAAAACATGCCTCAAGTTAATATTAATAGCCCTCGGGATCTATAAGCTATACATGTTTTTCTGTGAAGCACCTTGTTAACTTTGCTAAAGCTGTAATGTGGAGAATAAAATATAAACAAACAACTTGAACGCATGAGTTAGACATTAAGTATACATGTGTGGTGGTGTCTTGTGCTTTGAATGAAGTCTGTTTTTTGTCTTGTGTGTGTGTGTGTGTGTGTGTGTGTGTGTGTGAGCATATTGCACTGAAGGACAGCTTATGTCATGGAGTATATTTGCTGGTAAAAGCAGACTTGTCATATCCCTGTGGTCTAAAACAGACATTACTGTTGCCTCTATGCTCTCTTATACTTTCTCTCTCACACACAGGAACAGAAGACTGACCAGTTTTCACACTGCAAGGAGAGAACAGCAGAAACATTGGAGGAGGGAAGGAGGCAGTATTGACATATGATGACTAAGTTGATAAAGTAAAGTCTGTATTTATGTTCTCCCTTAAACTGCCCATGAAATGGCTCAATGATCTCAGTTCTCTTTCCTGTGTTGACATCTGTGTCTTGTGCTTTGAATGAAGTCTGTTTTTGTCTTGTGTGTGTGTGTGTGTGTGTGAGCATATTGCACTGAAGGACAGCTTATGTCATGGAGTATATTTGCTGGTAAAAGCAGACTTGTCATATCCCTGTGGTCTAAAACAGACATTACTGTTGCCTCTATGCTCTCTTATACTTTCTCTCTCACACACAGGAACAGAAGACTGACCAGTTTTCACACTGCAAGGAGAGAACAGCAGAAACATTGGAGGAGGGAAGGAGGCAGTATTGACATATGATGACTAAGTTGATAAGGTCAGTAAAGTCTGTATTTATGTTCTCCCTTAAACTGCCCATGAAATGGCTCAATGATCTCAGTTCTCTTTCCTGTGTTGACATCCTTCTGTTAGGGTTGGGTACAAATATAGATTTTGTGATTAATTACCACCCTCATCTCACAGTAGTGTGGACAGCTCTGTTAATTTTAATAATTGACTTATTTTTAATAGATTTACAATACTGTTCAAAAGTTTGGGGTCAGTAAGGTTTTTATTTTTATTTTGGAGAGAAATACTCTCCATTCAGCAAAAAATACTTTTATTCAGCAAAAACACATTAAATTCTACCATTATGTAAATTATAATTTCTACTTCAAATAAGTGCTGTTTTTTAAAACTCTTCTAATAATCCTATTTTAAACATTAATAATAATAATAATAATAATACAATTCTTGAGCACCAAATCAGCATATTAGAATGATTTCTGAAGGATCATGTGACACTGAAGACTGGCGTAATGGCTGCTGAAATTTCAGCTTTGCCATCACATGAATGAATTATACATTAAACAAGAATTGTTTTAATATTTCACAATATTACAGTTTTCACTGTATTTTTTTATCAAATAAATGCAGCCTGTGTGAAAAAGAGACTTATTTTAAAAACAATAATACATCTTAATCACCTCAAACTTTCAAATGGTAGTATATACATTTTTTCATATTTAAAAAAAGACAAATTGTATTATCATTATTTTGAAAGAAAGTTTTTTTTTTAATTAAGATTTTTGTAATTTATTAAATGTAAAAATCCTTCCATATATTACAACTGACTACTGAATCAGAATTGAATAAAATGTAAATGTTTTCAAAGCTGGAGAATTGGAATCGAATTGGAAAAGCTGTATTATTACCAAGCCTTAGATCCAAATATCTAACTGGCATTGATAGAAGAAGAAAAAAAACACTCTAGATAAACTGTTGATTGCAATAGCTTCTACTACATTCAAAAAATATATTAACAAACCCAAGCAAATCACTGTTTTACACACAGAAAGATGCCTCTGAAAGAATAACAATTTCATAACCAAATCATGCATGAAAGATAAAGAAGAAGAGGCTGACCTGAGCGCCGCTGTGTTTCCGCTTCGGTGAACACAAGTCACCTCCCGGGTCTGGTAGCCCACCTGCAGGTCCCAGAACTTCAACCCCTGGCGGTTCTGACGATTCCTCGTCCTCTTCTTTTTGATGAGCTCTTGGGTCTCAGGGTCCCTCATCCTTCCCTTCACCCTGACCCTATCCTTCACACGTTCTCCTTTGTTTTCCTTCACCTCTTTTTTCTCTTTGTTCCTGCGACGCTTGCCCTGGCGTTCTTGCCTGGCCTGCCGATCTCGCTTTGCTTTCCGTTCAGGTTTGGGTTCTCTGGCTTCTCGGGTCTGTCGTATAGGTGAAACCATGCAGGGGCCCCAAGGTCCCACCCTCAGGCTGTGCAGGCTCTCCTCACCCTCGCAGGGGCCCGGCTGGCAGGTGTGGAACTCTGTGAGGTTGGGGCAAGCCGAACCGCCAAAAAGGGGCGGGGCTAGAACCCATCGCAAGCGGTTCTGCAGACCCATCCCACAACTCTTAGAGCAGGACGTCCATGGGGAGAATTCGGACACTACGCACTCACGTGGGCACGGGATAAGGCAGGCCTGCTCTAACCGTGGCTTGGGCTCAAAGTACTCGCAGATGGCATCTTCTGTGGGAACGCCATCCGATTTGTGCACGCAGCCCACTTCCCGCGTCTGGATGCCCTCTTCGCCCCGAGTGCACACCGCTGGCCTTGGCATGCCCACACTGCGCATAGACACCGGCACGCACTGGTTCCAGGCCCCTAGCTGCCAGTCGTACAGCTCTTTGTGCCAATCGCACACCCGGAAGCAGCTCTGTTGGTTGCTGGGTCGCTCCGACTGCTGGCAGTTGGTGTGTAACGTGGTCCAGCCCTCGGAATGGGCACACCATACCGCTCGGCTTTGACTTCCCCCCGGACCACACTCGCTACCCATGCACCTACCCCATGGCCCTAAAAGAGAGACGGAGACAAAAGAGACAACTTTACAATTCAGTAAAAGCCTCGTGAACAGATGTCAGTCTTGATTTGCGCTCATGCTCAATATCCTGATCGCATCCGGTTTCACTTCCTGTACAGGTCATAATTAATGTCTGCAGCCTACATGCACTTAAGACTTTAAATAGAGTTAAAAACAGGACATGAGCAGCCAGGAGGAGTCAAATGCCCATTGTCTCAATCAATAGTCCTGTATTCCCAGGGACTCCATAATTCAAAACACTCTAGGGAGGTGTGGTAGTGAAGACAAGCTGATTTTACTGATGGATTTCACAGCGTGCCAGAGACATCTTTGTGGAGAGGGTCACAGAGTACAGGGAGAAGAAAGAATTAGCCTACAGCTGCATGTTGTTTTAAAAATTGGTGCTTCCCACACATGCTGGTTTTGACATGACAAAAAGGCAAAAGCTCATGAATATTAATTCGATTAAGCTGAAATTCTATTTAATGATGTTTCATTAAATATTGCTATGTTCATAAAAATAAAAATACTTAATAAAATAAATAAATAAATGATTTAACATTAAAAACAAGAATAAATAAATGTGATGTATTGATCAGGATATATGTTCTCTTAAATAAGTATCAAAACAAATTTAAACAATACACTGTCTTAAAGGTACAATATTAGTACCTACAGAAGTAATACAGTTACAAATTACAAAAAGTGCCACAAAAATAATCCATTCCCAGAAAGGCCAAAAATAATTACAATTATATTTTCAATAGAACATTGAGTTTTACACAGTTACTTGAGGGACCAATTCAAGCGCTGAAATGCACATGAAATTGTGACACATTTAATTTAATAACTTACTACATAAAACCTGACTACTTCCAACATCTGCCACTGCCAGTCCCCGAGACTTTGTTGAGTAGCAGCTCACTATTAATAGGATAGTTCATCTAAAAATTAACATTCTGTCATCATTTATTCACCCTCAAGTTGTATGATTTACTTTCTTCCATAGAACACAAAAGAAGATATTTCTGAAACATGTTTGAACTGTTTTGTCCATACAATGAAAGTCAGTGGCGTCCAGTGTAGTTCTGGACAAAGAAAGGAGTAAGAAGAAAGAAAGTCAAAGAGATTTTG